TATATGGTCGGGTCTTATCGAACGAACTGGTACTCTATAATTACCATGATTACATGCCTGGGAGAAATTATTTGAGGAATTATCATGCCGAGTTTGTGTATACATTTATATATTCTTTCTCATTTAATGTAAATACATGTATGTTGAAGGATGGGCCAAAACTGTAAAATTTGGACAGAAATTAAGACGCAAGCATAAGAACTACATTGTGTTTTAGTCTGTATAGATGTGTCCCTGCTACAGTGGCAGCTAACAGAAAGTGGGATATAATTAAGATTGCATAGTGAATTTGCTCTGTGTCACCTCTAAATGGCAGAAGAAAACTCAACTCAGCACAACCAGAAACACTTTTCTGAAGGTGAGTACATCAATTTATTATATTTCTAGTGGAAAAGTTTTTCATAAGTTATGATACATATTTTTGATAGCATAACAAATTTTCTTGTTATGATGGCAAAGATGAACCGAATACTATTTTTGAAAGTATATTTTGACATTTCTTATTTTTGTTGACTTATTTTATTTTCATTTTTTTTAAATACATGCAAATACATGATTACTTATAATAGTAGGCTTTTGAGAGAGAAAAAAAAGATTAAAAAAAATATTAGGGTAGTCAATAGGTTAATATTTAAGGGGGCCGACTATAGTTCTATTGTGTGAAAACTACAATAGCGAAACTCTTCATTTTTATACCATATATAACTTACATTAACTTCAGTGTACATGCAAAGTTTGGGGGGAATCTACCGTCCAGGTATTTTTGAGGGACCGTCTCAAAATACAGGTACATTTACTATAGGATTATATAGGAAAATGCCAATTTTTAGCACTTTAAAGCAAATTATACAAATACTACAATAGACATTTTGTTCAAACTATAATATTTTATGAGTAATACTATATTATACAATGTATGTAAGAAACGCAAAATTCTACCGTCTTGTTACCAGAGGGGGCATCTCAAAATGCAAAAAATTAGCAAATTTTACTATTTTTATAGAGTATTACAAAATATGACGTACACAATGGATTCACATGAAAACATAATAAAAATATTGCGAATATTCTCTAATTTCTATGTTTGAAATTTCAAGAGCGTATGTTTATCACTTTTTCTTTAATAATATTTTTCTTACCCATTCTTTAAGAGCTACAGATTATCATAACGTCAAAAACACACTGCAACGACGTCAACCTACCTATCAATTGCAATATCGGTTAAAAAATCAATTATATCAAGTTGTAATTACATTTTCATACCTATGATTTCTTAATTTTGTTTAATTTTAAGAATTAAGCGAATAAAGTTGCATTAAAACAGTAAATACGCTTCATTTTACTATGATGCGCGAAATATTGCGCAATGGAAACGATAGTCGGCCCCCTTAATAATCGCTTACTCGATATCTGACTTTTTCCCAATTGAATACACAGTTACACGGTAAATTGTAGATAGAAGTTTGTTCTTGAGCCTAGTTAAGCTCTGCTAACCCACAAAGCTGATTTTATCGTGTTTATCAATGTAATACATGTACAAATGATTATCAATTCCATTGGAAATATTTTTTGGTACTAAAATTAGTTATCAAATAAAACACGAATGCACAATACACCCAAAATTACAAAAGGTTGTTTTAATTGGATCTATTTGACAAACTGCTGTGTACACATGTAGGTTATATAACTAGCCAAAGAGAGGGGACAGATGTTGTTGGTCAGGATGGCTAGTCTTATCTTATTTCATTTGTTGTTTGTTTCCAGTATACTTACACTAAACTTACTACACATGTTGACTTTCAGCAGTTTTGAATCTTTTGTTATTTCTATATCACTTTACTCTTGAAGTGGGTATAGTGGCATTAATTTCTTTGCATGTCAGATTTCAATGAATGAATGAATGTAGATCAAGGTGATAGCGGGTGTTTTACAGCTAGGTGTAGATGAAGACATGCTAATACCTGTACGAAATGTTCCGCCTGGAATATAGGGGGAATTGAGGCGTACTTGGAGAGGCGTCAATTTGTCTCTCTACATATATTGTGATACACAGGTTCCGGGCGTAACTTAGGCGGAAACCAAGCGTAAATGGGCATGAATTTGAGGCGAAAAATGTAAATGAGCTACGCCCGGAAAAATAAATGACGCCCGTAAAAAAAATTACGCCTGGAAACTAAAATGACGCCTGGAATAGAATTACGCCTGGAATGTCCTTATTATTATATAATACTATGTGACCTAAAAACCTATATATTTACCATGTTAACAAAGAAAAAACATTCAGATTATGATTTACAATGTTAAAGCTAAAAATTTAGCTTTTTGAACTGTAAGAAAACATAATGACAGGTCATTAACATATATCATTAACAAGTATAGAAAAATAACATGAATTTTGTGTATTATAGGGACACTAAAACACGACCACCATGATTGAGTGTGTATTTAAAATTAAACTTTTTTACAATACCTGTACATTTTATCACTTCAATAATTATATTGAAACATTTTAGCTACTGACTGAATACAATTCTTCATTTACTCTGCAGTTTACAGTTAGATTCTCACTGCGGCCTCTATCAGACTGATATTTCTCAGAATGTGTGCAAGGACAAACTCAAATATCTAAAGTAATTTTAGGGTCAACCAGTTATAACTATCATTGTACATAATCATAATCAAATTTACTCAAAAATGTACTAGATATTCATGATCACACCTACCAGCAGACACTGTGTCATCCTCAAGAAGTGTAAAAGCCTTAACATTGAGATATCTGCATTTCCTGTTTCACTCGCACTAAACTCCCTCCTTCATGATCAAATTCAACCTTAACCTCCTATCTGAAATGACTCTTAATTGATAATTAAATTGACCAATCAGAGGCTTTTACTTCTCCTGAAAGTTCCAGGCGTAATTTTTGTTTCTATTTTCCTGCCATTTTACGCCCGAAAAATCTGAACTTGGCAATTGACGCCCGGAAATTACAAATGACGCCTGTAAGACGTCTCTTCTACTGAGGCGTAACTCTTTGAAAATTCCGTCTCCGCCTCAAGTACGCCCGGAATTTGCCAATTCCTGCTCAATTCCACCCAAATTCCAGGCGGAATCCGCCTTTAAAATTCATACAGGTTACCATTTGCATGTTTTAGTTTTAATTGATAAGTTTTTGGTAAAAATGTGTACATTGAAATAATAAATAATATACATCCGAATAAACGAGTACCTATTTTTAGTATTCGATACTTGGACCTTGGATCAAGTACCTGGTGAAGTTGACTTCCCTAGAAAATATATTAAAATATATCATAAAAGGTTATTTGAAGTCCTTGATTTCATTCATTGAAAGTCGGATACATTGTAAAATAATTTTTGTTAAATAAACATTATGAGATATTCTTAATTTTTTTTTTCAATTATACACTTTGTAGAAAATTCTGCCATGAGACAGTTGTGAGGGGAATGGTGTAGATAATCTCCAGAAAAGAAATCACCACTGATATTGGGATGTGTGTACATGTACCAATATTTTGCAATCATCAAAGACAAATTTACCACACGAATAAAAATAAAATTGTCTGGCGTTCAAGGGCTTACCATGGTAGAAGCTCTCCTGAAAAAATATCCCATTTATTGTGGACATCATGACACAGTGTTCACCTGTCATCAGCATTAGAGACTTGTGATTTGTTCTACCTGGGCTATATATGTATTGAATGAAAACAATTCATAGAACCACAAGCACATTGTAAATCTATGTAAGATCTTCTATGTATGTTGCATCCTTATATAATTTGCTGTTTTATAACAAGACTTTGTTTCATTGGTACTGAAACTTAATACACATAAAAAAAAAAACCAAAAGCAGTTGTGATATTTATTGTTTTCTATTACTCATTAGTTCTCATTTTTGTGTGAAATTTTATAATTATCCATTTCTTGTTCCCCAAAACCATATCTTACAAATTTTATGTATTGCAACTTGCATTTCAATTTTAACTTGTTATACTTAATAAAAACTAGAGGTACTGTGAGCAATGAGCTCACGAAATGATACCCCCGCTTCCCATATGATTATAATGGAAAAGTCCATCTTTTGCTGTGGCCGGGAAACCCAAAATATGTGTCGGATCAAAAAGTAAAATAGGAGGTGCACAATGGCAATATGTAATAAGGATTCTGTGAAGGTTTCATTAAATTTCACTCAGTGGTATAAAAGGAGTTGCAGATAAGATATGAGTACCCCAAAGCTTAACAAATGGACGGACGGACAGCTAGACGTACAGACGGCCGGACGGACATACTGATTACAGTATACCCTCCCACTTTTCAAGCGGGGGGGTATAATAAATGTTAGAATGTTCATATTGTTATTGACGTCACTTCTCATGTATCTGCTTCAAAAGGGAGACATATTGTTTATTCTTGTTCCTTGGTTTCAATACTACAATCCATCATAATATTTATCACACCCCCCCCATTTAAAACAGATTATGCTTCAAATATGTGTCATGAAAGTTTTGCACATGAGAACTAGCAATCTTGCTTCCGCTATCAGTACTCTCAGTACTTTGATTTTTGTTACCTATACATTTCAAATGACTGAATTTTCATTAATTTTGATGTAATTTAAAGTCTGAAATTTCCTCAATCTATAAAGATAATTTGACCTGTTGCTAAGGTCATTTCTTCGGTCAGGTTATCACAGCAAAGAAGACTCAAATTATAGTAGTTATTGTTCCTAGTATTGTTTGGTATATAGAAGAAAACATTTCATATATTTTGATAGCATCCTTTACTTTGTATTTACATTATAAAATGTACAATATTGTTAACAATCAGATAAAAGGTTCAAACCTAGCGTTTGTTTACATTCAAAAGATATGGAAAGAGAAATATACACTACGATCCACTCGAAAGCAAGTGACTGAAATGACTAAATAAATAAACAATACCGAAAATGTTTTTCTAATAAGAAAACGAAATTGTTCAGAGTTAAATTATCTCTTGAAATGATGGAACACTGTTCCCATCGCTTCACAGACTGGCACGAAGCAGCAGTTCATGCAGTTGGCGTACAACCTCTGGCAAAGTCCACAGTTGATTTCGCAAACCTTCAAGCATGGACTGATGTACCAAACATGGAAGAAGGAGATAATGGCAAACTCACAGCCCCACTCGGCGGCTATGAAGCATCCCAGGTAGAATGTCAGGAGCTTGTAGAGGCAGCCTTTCCACAAGTTGAAGCAGGTGTGTGAAAGCTTGTAGGCACAGTCAATACTGTGGGTACCATCTGGCTCACCAATCACATCATTGAAATGGAGGGTCTAAAAACAATGTCAAAAATCATGAGTAAAACGTAACAAACGATTCATTTACATATTTAGTTTCTCAATACATTCAGATTTCTTTTCATAAAAGACATTCATGTTTTGTTTTATATACATATGTTAAAGCAGTATTTCAGAGAGGTAAAAAAGAACTTGTTTTTTCATAATGTCCTGAATTCCATATGTTCTTCAATTGTTTTATAGAATGTCTTCTTTTTAATATCAAAGTCAGAAAAATGAATTACTCTTCCTGATGCAAGTCAAGGACATTTCAAGATTGTTTTTCATAAGAAGAGCTGTCCATATTCTTTCCAAATTAAAAAAATCATTCGAAAATTTACAGAAAGCTACTTTAATAGATAAGAATGAAAAGACGTATAAAGATTATCTATAAGTTCTTCTTGAACATAAATTTTCCTTTTAATCGTTTCGAATTCGGAGAGGCCCACTTATATCTGAAGACATTCGTCCTATGTGAAAAAAATATTGCGTACTTTACGAGGCTCTTGTGTATTCTCTGAAAACTTACCCCTAAATGGGAGTTTAGTCCATTAGGATCCCTGTTGACCAAATCAACTTCCTCTGCTCCGGACATTATTGGATGCTAGCCGTCTGAATTGTAAGGATAAAATGATATTGTTTTCACTGACTACCTGCTGTTGGCAACGTTTTGTGTATTTGTTGATGGTGGATACAAAGATTAATCTGACTTAATGAAGGATTAATCTACTGCAGAAAAAGAGATTTCAGTTAGAACACTCTTTTGTATGCATTTACGAAATCCGATCAGGGTTGGTTAATCTTTCGAATGAGAAAAGTTGCAAACAATGAAGGCGTTATTCAGAAAGAAGTAAATGCTTACAACAAATCGTGTTAAATTTTGACTTTTTTCTGTAACAGATTGTTAACCGTTTGATATAGGTCAAGACACGGGTAAAGATAAAAAAAATAATAGAATGTCAAAACACCTCATAAGCTATGCCTGAAATAAAAAAAGAAGAATAATCGAAGGTGTTATAACCCAAACGAATTGTTAACCCCTTTTCCCTCCTTATTTTTGCTTCCTTTTTGTTTTGCCACTTAGAGAACTTTTTCTCTTTTTCTCAATTTAATAAGACGAAAATTAAGAAACACGTCTATGGCCTTTTTACAAACTTTTATAATAATTATTTTTTTTATCTTTTCAATTCACAAATTACGTACAATTATTTCTTACATTTGAGCTGTTCATTGTATTTTTGACAGTTTAGTTTGCATACATTCTCATTCAGTTAAGAGTTTGTAGCTGATATCACTGTATTTTTTTCTGTGTAAAATAAGAAAAGAATTTTTGAATTAAGACATGCATTTCTTATAACTCTGAAAATGCTAAATTATTTTCATTTTTGATTTTAAAAAATGAGACCAACAAATAACACGATATGAAATTGTATTTGAAAATTGTAAACATAACCCTCAGAATAAATGTTATTTATTGCATAATATATATGTACACTAGCCAGGAGTAAAATGCTATCCTCAACTTAAAACTAAAACCTCTAGTATGTAAAGTGATACATGTTTGACAAAGAATTTTTTTATCAACTGAAGGAGAAATCAAAACTGTAAGAATCCTGTTTTAGATATGAATATCATTAGGATAAAGTGTACATGTATTGGGTATTGTTGACTAAATGTGTAATTAGGCATTTCTATATTTTTGTCTACTTTGAGCAGCACACAAATGCAAAAACTTAGAGAAATTTTCTGCATTGCTTGCTATTTTCAGGATAGAGCAATCCACAACTTGTATAGAATTGAATGATTTGGGATCCGCGCTGGATTTCGTACTTTGTATATAGTTCAAGTATTTTAAATATAAGACCAGGATAATGTAATAGAAGGAATGTTTTACATTTATATTCCCAAATTGATTAAGCGAAAGCTTTTTCCTTCATCAGAACTTCGTTGTTTCAAAGATTTTGTCAGGGTTTAAAAAGACGCACATCATATGTTTAAAATAACCTATTTGATGCCATTGTACAGCGTACCATATTTAAAACCAAAACATAATTACTTTCATCAGTGGATGTTTAAAAAACTGTGATAACATGCATGAGAAGTTTGTATAAGAATTATGTAAAGTTATTCTATTCTCGGGGTTATTTTTTCTCTGACATATTTTTGTTCGTTTTTATTTTTCGCTCTTAAAAGTTTTTTAATTATGTATTTTGGATTTCCAAAGTTTCGATAAGAGTATCACTGAAGAGGCATAATTTTATCGAAATGCGTACCATATGTATCAAAATTTGAACCGTAAAAGATTCAAATTAATATTTCAAATCTTTAATTCGTTACTGCTTTTTTACTACGTTTGACAACGAATTACCTCGATTACATATATTTGGACACATTGACAACGCCAACTTAAAAGAATGTACAGGGAATTTTCCATGAGAAACATATCTAGATCTGATATCTGATAGTTGCTTAAGAATGTTCACAATGTTTTTAAAAGATTTTACATATTACATGTACGTATATCAGACACTATAAAATGATATGTATTTAATTTGTTTACTCTATCTTTGAACAAACAATCTTGCTGATTAAATACATGACACTCGATTCCATCTCCGATATTTTGCTCTGTTCAGAAGAAGAAGGTTCATCTTGGACCTCTTTTGGCCCTGTGAATTTCTGAAAAACCAGAACTGCTCATTTTTAGTTGAAAATATGTTAAATTTCACTTGGACCCTCGGTGACCTCATTTCAAATAAAAATGATGTAATTTTTTCTCTTGTCCATGTATTACATGTTTGACGTCATGAATTGCGTCATTTTCCTCAAATCTTGAAAATTTATTTTAAAATGGCCATAATTCTAAGCCGTTTTTGAATATTTCGTATAACCCCAACCTCTGATCTTAAATATTTAACCTTACAATAAAAGAACTGTTTCGGAAGTTTCTAATTCATAAAACACTTTTTGGATCGCAGTGGGCTCATGTTTTAATCAATAATTGAAGATACTCAAATTCACTCATTTTCTTCAAAAATCAGGAACATTGTAGTTTCACATAGCCTGAGTAATAAAACTTGGACTCATAATTTTTTTTTATAGGAAATGAAAGCACTATGTCTCCACATTATGTTGAAGTTCCAAATAGGACGTAAGGACTTGGTCAGTTTATTTGTACCATGTCAGGAGCATTTTATGGAGTTAGCTAATTTACCTCTTTGTACTGTGTAATGGACTTTTGAGCTTGAATATATTTGTGTCCTCATTATATTATGGGTAGCAATTTTCCCCGTTATTACATGTAGCAGGATATTTTTGTATTCATTTGAAATAGAATTTGTGCAAATACATGTACTTATGCATGAAAAGAAGGAAACACTTGAACTCGACAGTTATATATATCGACGACGTATTAACAATTGTAATTTCCATTCCTATGTCGATACGATATATCCTAGTGAGCTTGAGATAAAAGATACCCCAGAGTCTAACACATCTGTTTCATATTTGGATATTTTAACCACGACCAACAATCGCCATTATAAAAATAAATGTGATTAAAATCATTTTTTGTTTATTTCTTCTATATAAATAGTTGGACATTTTACTTGGTAAAGACGTAAATGGTAATCTTACAGCCTAGCTCTATCATAAACGTGACGACTTTAACTTTTCTTTCGTCAACTTCCCATACTGCCTTCATCTCCTTCATACGGAGTTTATATATCTCAGTTGATTCGATAGTAAGAGCATGCTCTACGTATATAAACAATGTCTAAAGCAAAGTAAATTATAGACAAACAATTTGATGAAACAAAAATATCAGGACTCTCATTTAAAGTCATAATTTCGTATGTTCTATGGCCGATACCATGACTTGTCAGCAAATAAAATATATCATCGAATCTAATGCTGACTGACGTTTTTCATCCTAATTGTTAGTCCATTATTTAAACATTGAATTGACGATGTATTTTTCCGTTTTTTCCCGACCATGACAAAGAACACAAAGCGGGTTTGACCAGTCGGCGGTGGATGCTTACTCCTCTATGACACCTGATACAACCTCTGATGTTTTGGAAGTCTGTGTTTGCTCTGCTTCTATTTTGTATTGTTTTATGGACTTTTGATCTTAAATACTGTTCGTTATATCACCATGTTTCATTATAATTCTATAAATGGACGATAACTCAAAATGATAAAGAAAACAATTTCGTTGTAAGTGACTGCTTGCGAGCATGTGAGACGGACATTGCTTTATGTTGATCCTTCGCAAAATAAATACAGCTCAACAAACTTTTTAAGCTCACATGGTTTTTCGCACAAATTAAGGTCACATTTTTGTAATAAAAATTACTATTTTTGAACCTCAGAACGATGACATAGCCCTACATTGTATTACATATATAATGTCAAGTATAAATGTCCTTTAAAAGTATTATCTTAAGTTTCCAAAGTGGATGTTTTAGAGGGGAATTTATCAATGAATGGTACGATGTTTCTACTATAGGCCTCTACCATAGGTTTTTCACAAATAATATAAAACGTGCTTTCTTTGATACAATGTAGTTGAAAATTTTAAATTTTCTTCTTAAAGGTGAGTATTTTTGTCTCGCCTGCGACGAATGTCGCGAAGCGAGACATAGCGACCATAGATTCCGTCGTCGTCGTCGTCGGCGTCCAACTTTTGGTTAACCCAAATGTCAAAGTTTTATAAACTGCAATAACTTTCTCAAATTTTATTCAGTCTTCTTGAAATTTGGACACAATATTCAGTATGGATAAAAATTTATATCCCAAGTATGATTTTGAAAAAAAAAATTCAAATTTTTCCGTATTTTTTCCTTAAGTTGGACTTAGTTTTTTCATGATAATTTATGGTGAAGACCTATATTCCAGCAACTATAAGTTATAGGGATATGATAATTAGTCAGTGGATACATCATGGGTAACCACAAACGTCAGTACCAGAATTAGGTCATCTTGACCTACATTTTTCTGCATGAGTGACTTTGGTTAAATTTTTGGTGGAGGTCCATATCTCAGCATCTATAACTTATAATGGCATGATGATTTGTCATTGTACAGGTTATAAGTAACCAACAACATCAGTACCAGAATTAGGTCATTTTGACCTACATTTTTCTGCATGAATGACTTTGGTTAAATTGATAATGGAGGTTCATATTTCAGCAACTATAACTTATAGTGGCATGATAGTTAGTCAGTGGATACATCATGGGTAACCACAAACGCCTGTACCAGAATTAGGTCATCTTGACCTACATTTTTCCGCATGAGTGACTTTGCATAAATTTATGGTGGAGGTCCATATCTCAGCAACTATAACTTATAGTGGCATGATAATTTGTCAGTGGATACATCATGGGTAACCACAAACGCCTGTACCAGAATTAGGTCATCTTGACCTACATTTTTCCGCATGAGTGACTTTGCATAAATTTATGGTGGAGGTCCATATCTCAGCAACTATAACTTATAGTGGCATGATAATTTGTCAGTCTACACATCATGGGTAACCAACAATATCAGTACCATAATTAGGTAATCTTCACCTACATTTTCTGCATGAATGACTTGATACATATACAGTGGATTTGATTTCAAAATGCAAGTTCAAATTATTGCGACTCATAACACGTTGCAATATTCGCAATAATAAAAACATCACAATAATTTGTGAATTTACAGGGTATATGTATATATATATAAATGCCAATATAATCGCCAAGGGATTAGATATTAAGTCAGCTGTTCCATTTCTTTATTATTGTATTTTTGAGTTATTCCTTCTGAAATGTCAATAAATGCTTCAGTTTATCAGACAATCATTTCTTACTAACCACAGCGACAGCAGGCGAGACACAGGGTTGCGGGCAACCCTTACGTACTTTTTAAAATTCTTTGCTCATTTACCTTACTCATGTGGGTTTTGTCGAAATGTAGCACCCAAAAGGGATAACATTGCAGAGAGGAACCATACTACAGAGTAGGATAATGAAGTATTGTTTATTTTTTAATAGTAAATTTTTCTATAAAAAGGAAAATTCTTCTGCATTTACGGTTTGAAACGTTAAAATTTTGCTGTGGGATGAATCTTTCATGATTCTAGATTTTTAGAAGGTGACTTTGAAAAATGCCACCTACAGAGCAGTCAAACAGATGAAAAATACTATTATCACCATGCGCTAAAGAGTCGAATATACAGAAAATACAAGTTACAGTAGCTATACTGTGCCCTTGTCTATGTTTCTGCAAAGAGCTACTGCTTTCAAAAGAATGGATAAAAAGACAGCTGCAATTGGCAAGAAACTACAAAAAATCAAATGGAAATAATTGTTATTTTTCAGCCAAGCATATATTAAAGTTCTAGCAATTGATTTGTATGAATTATGTTTTAGTAAATGAAATAAAACTCAAATAATGTAAACAAATACTTTTAAAATGTATTTTGATGTCTCAACACACAATATTACATTATAACAATGTGACCTTAATTTATGCGAAAAAACCATGTGAGCTTAAAAAGTTTGTTGAGCTGTATAAATTTACTCTATAGAAACTAGAGGTACTGTGAGCAATGAGCTCACTAAATGATAACCCCCCCCCCCCCGCCTCCCATATGAATATAATGGCAGTGTCCATGTTTTGTTTTTGAAAATCCAAAATATCTGTCAGATCAAAAAGTAAAATAGGAGGTGCACAATGGCAATATGTAATAGAGATTCTGTGAAAGTCTCATCAAATTTCCTTCAGTAGTATGAGAGGAGTTGCGGATAAGAGATGGGTACCCCAAAGCGTAACAGACGGAAGGACGTACAGACAGACGGACAGAGGGACGGACGGACGGATGGAAATACCGATTACTATATACCCTCCCACTTTTCAAGCGGAGGGTATAATGAAAACGAAACAATCAGATGGAACTAGGTGCTAAACTCTTAAACGGAGAGCTTACGTAGCCTCAACGCTAGAAGAGCGCTAGCAAACATTATTTGATGCTTACTACCAAATCCAAGATGATCTCGTTGGTTACAACTTTGCAACCAACACAATCATATTACGCATTTTCCATATCTGAGGAATTTAAATGTAAATTAACATACATATTTTTGCTTGATATAAACTTTTTTTACAGATATATTTATCTGGAATCCTTCACTTAGCGATAACTTACAATGTACAACTGTAGATACATGTAACTTAATCAGAAATGAATTGAGTTTCTATTAGAACATATACATTGTTAAACATTGGTTCATAAAATCATTTTTAGTTACCTTTCATATATGTCAAGGGGGAAAATGTATTGCTATAATATTGAATTTTTTTAAAAAATTCTTTTTAAAAAGCAATAGCAAATTTCTTTGAAATTATTATACATCCATATAAAAGAGAAAGAACAAGGATAAACATTTAAAACTAAAAAAGCAATGATTCCAGCATTAACAGAGCATTTTTTAAATTTGCAATTTGTAACTATAGTAAAATAAGGAAACAAAACATTCATTGCAATTTCATTGCAGTTACATAAAGAGGAATAGACCAAAATCATTAGGTTCTCTTAAAATGGTGGAACACTGATCCAACTGCCTCACAGTATGGCACGATGCAGCAGTTTATGCAGTTAGCATACAGCCTCTGGCAAAGTCCGCAGTTGATTTCGCAAACCTTCACGCATGGACTGATGAACCACACATGGGAGAAGGAGATAAGGGCAAATTCACAGCCCCACTCGGCGGCTATGCAGCATCCCAGGTAGAATGTCAGGAGCTTGTAGAGGCAGCCTTTCCACAAATTGAAGCAGGTGTGTGAGAGCTTGTAGGCACAGTCAATACTGTGGGTACCATCTGGCTCTCCAATCACATCGTTGAAATGAAGGGTCTGAAATAAATATTAATAAATATCGAGCTTCATCTTTACCTAAAATTTCTGAAGATAAATATATGTACGCAAGAAACTATCTATCTTCAAACGATCCCGTTATATTAAAATATACTTTTAACATAGTTTTGGATACTAAAAAGAAATCGGTAATAATTATAGTACTGTTATAAATAAATTCAAAGTTTAGTTAGATTAATATATTCCCTCTGCATGAATCATATCTTCAATATTTAAAATTGTTTTCTTACCCCTAGATGAGAGTTTATTCCATTAGGATCCCTGTCTTCTAAATCAATTGGTTCTGCTCCTGACATTGTTGGGATGTTTTTCGTCTAATTTTCGAAGATGAAGTGTTGTTGTTTGAGGTACCCGTTGTTGCTAACAATTTGAGTATTTGTTGACAATAGATACAAAGATTAATCTGTCTTAATGAGGGATTAACCAGATATTTTTAAAAGAATGGACTAAAACCACAAGCAAATATACGTCTATAACAGCACTCTTTGGCGATAAGAGGATATATGTAAGAAAAATCCCCAGGTATCGTGTGGATTTATGAATTTCGTTCTCCTTCACAATGCATGCACAACATAAATGTCTCATTCAAAGACTTTGTCTCTTTAAGGAATGTTTATGATTTATTCCTTATACATTTATGTATTTATTTCCTATCCTTTTAATTATTTATATAGAAATTTATTTTCTACTTTTTAACCATATTGTTTTTATTAATTTAAAAAAAATTATTCAGTATGCTTGATTTATTTATGTTAATAATATGAAGAGTATTGTTTTCATCTTACATTTGTACGACACAATCGACTAAAATGTATTTTCGTTTAAAAGGTTTTGCTCAAAATATATAGTTTAAAGTAATGTCTTTTTACGATCGTCAACCAAATTTAATTGTGCAATGTTTGGCTCATTCATTTTAGAGTTTATATAATTATTTGTTGACGTTTCATTTCTATCGCTTAAGTAAGAAGGTAAGGGAGGATAGGGTATAATTTCCATATGTTTCATTCCCTTTATTTCAAGTTCTTGAAAAGATTATGATCCGCTGTTTCAAAACTACATAAAAAAATGCTTTGTGCATTATATGCTGCCTTTAACCTTTTTCATATTGGTTTTATCTATCAATTCATTATGTTGAGGGCTCGGAGGATTATAGTAACTGTATGGTTTAACACAATTCTAAAGTCGCATTTGAAGTTTCCATAGCATAGTGTAATGCTGAGAAAATATGCACATTTTCAGACAACAATTGTTTTCATTATATATATTCAATGTATGTACGACGTACATGTCATCTATCGTTGATATGCTCTCAGCAGTACGACAAATTACATTGTTTTGTATTGTACGTTATGTAGTTACAGTAAAAAGTAAAACATGGATATAACGAACGATATTCAAGTTCAATCTAAGTCCATTTGAAAAAAATGGATAAACATGGGCCTCAAACAAATCAGAGGTACGATAAGGTACCGTGGAGGAGTGAGCAGCCTTTGCCGATCAGGAACACCCTTTATGTCCTTTTTCTCATGACCAGGAAATAAAGGGATAATTTGCTAACATTTTAGGCCTCACAATAAACATAAGAAACGTTCGTCAGCATTTAACTTAATAATATATTTTATTTGCTAACAAAAGTTTTCCTATCGACCAAACAACTTGCATATTGATAACTTTAAATATTCTTTTTTCATCAATTCGTTTATCAATAGCTTACATTCCTTAAACAACTGTTAAAAAAAGTGAAATGTTCTAATGTACCGTATGTATCGAATCAACTGGGAAATTTAAAGATTAACCGGTGTGACCGGTCGATATGGGATGCTCACTCCTCTATGGCATCCCAAATTAAAATGTTAAGGCTGTAACCAAATTGTGATTATAGTATCACAGATAGAGCCAACCATAAAAATACCAGTTCTGAGTTACTAGTACTTAGTTTATAATATCATGATACAATGTATATGTATGATCAATCACTTATTACATTAATCATAATGAAAAGAAAACGATAACTATGAAATAAGTTTAATTCTAACCAAATAATACAAAAGATTATAAAGTGTCCTCCAAACAACCACTTGCATTTGGATTGAATTAAATTGGTGTCTTTGGTTTATAATAATAGAAATGCATAGCGGTACATTAACATGTATGCTGAAATCAGTAAAATATTAAACTTATCGCATTTAATCAACACTATAAATATTCGCTTAACATACTGAATATAACATTTCCAAACTTTTTTGAAATGTAAGCACTGCAATTAACTGGTATTGAGGTATCCTTGAAATCAAATGCTAGCTGAATTTTCTAAAAGTTTATTATGTTCTCTCATGACCTAAAAGATTCAAAGAAGGGAACGAAAAAGGATTCCGATTCAATCTAAACGTTTATGTTCTTTTAAAATGATGGAACACAGATCCCATCGCTTCACAGACGGGCACGAAGCAGCAGTTCATGCAGTTGGAGTACAACCTCTGACAAAGTCCACAGTTGATTTCGCAAACCTTTAAGCATGGACTAATGTACCAAACATGGACGAAGGAGATAATTGCAAACTCACAGCCCCATTCGGCGGCTATGAAGCATCCCAGGTAGAATGTCAGGAGCTTGTAGAGGCAGCCTTTCCACAAGTTGAAGCAGGTGTGTGAGAGCTTGTAGGCACAGTCAATACTGTGGGTACCATCTGGCTCTCCAATCACGTCATTGAAGTGGAGGGTCTAAAATTAAAATATAAATGAAGAGCATTATTCAATTTGCATCCGAATACCTTGTTTTCATAAAAGAAATGAGAAACACACTATAAATACACCAGAAAATAAAATACTGTCTGAATTAAATAGTTAAGTGCATTAAATCATTTTCAAAACGTTCGGAAGAGAGCCATTGAGAGAAAGGAAATAACGTTGTTCTGCATGGTTTTCTTACCGTTGTGCTGACTGAAGACACTTAACACCATTACGCGCATTGTAGAAATTGATATTTGGGTTGGGATTTTTTGTAAAATTATATAAACTAATGTTTCTCCTGCCGATTCATATCTTTGAAAGGAAGAATCAAAGGTTGATGATTGAAAACGATTGCTAGATCTGTCTTTGTCGAGCAGCTTTCAAATTTCAATCGCAAAAATTAAAAGAAAAGTGTAATTTGATGTTAAAACCATTTAAAATGAGAAATATTGTTTAAGGAACTCCGATCCTCAGCAAAGAAGGATAACTCTTTAATTTATAATTTAAATCAAAAAGTCCAAAGTTGAAGCTTGAAAATAATTTTTTTCGTGCAATTTTTTTTATTTTATGCCTCTCAATGTACATGTGCTTCAAGGTTCTTCGAAGTTCTCAGAAAGGTCTTATAAAAAGTCAAAATTTTTACCCAATAATAGTATTAAAAATAACAAATTTTAAGAAATTGAGGTTCTAACCAAAAATAGCAATGTTTATTAACATGATATGAAATAAGAAGTAATTTATGGTGTTTTGTAATGATAGTAATCTTTATACACCATGTATAGTAAAATGATCAAAGTAAATAGAAGAAACTAAAGTACCTTATAGAAACAAAGTACCGTATAAGTATTAAAATTGTGCAATTTCTTCAAAAGCCTGGATACCTATGAGTTTTATTTCTAAAAGTGTTTGCTGATCGAATTGAAATTGGAAAAGGCATAGTAGATGTTTTAATTCGCATTTGCTGAAAATTTATTTGAGAATTCTTTATTTTCCCTATATAATATGATTAACTTTAAATATGAAGTTTGAAGAATTATCGTGGGTAAAACACTTAACGTTGAGAATTCAAAGATATTTTTGTTAGCATTTTCAATTAGACAATGTTTGATTTTCAGAACCTGAGGATCGGACTACCTTAACCAGCTCTTCTGATGTTATACTGTCCTCCCCGGCATCATGAAACTGACATTTTGCTGAAGTACAAATCATCCTTAAATATCTTTTTTCTTTAAATTCTTTTATATTTTTGTCGTTTTAAATTATTTCAGTAACATTTATTGGATATGAAATAAAACAATATCTGGAAAAATTCCTATATCTGCAGACAAAATTTAAAATGGTGAGTTTTTAGATTTAAACAGATACATGTACACATAATATTGATGAATGGTTCCAATGCCTTACCCCTAGATGGGAATTTAGTCCATTTGGATCCCTGTTCACCAGATCTACCTCCTCTGCCCCAGACATTTTTTATTAAATTTTTTATCGGAACTGACTCTAAGTGTTTAACGAAAGAGTTTAAGTATTGAGGGTTTTGTGCATTCAATTGTTTGTTAGAAACGTGGGTTTCAGATTAAAGATTAAGGTGGGGATTATCTACGTTACAATCGACATTACAGCAATCATTATTAAAAATGTTTTAAAAAATTTAAAAATGGTGAGGTTTTAGATTTAAACAGATACATGTACACATAATATTGATGAATTTCTGATCTACCTCCTCTGCCCCAGACATTTTTTATTAAATTTTTTAATAATGAGTTATAGCTCAGCTTTATTGAAAAAGATTCATTCTTGTACTTGTTTCGATGTTTAAAAAAATAGAATCTAGTTGCTATGATATGTTTAAAAACATTAATTCTAAGAGTTATTCATATGTACGGATGATTTATAGCAAAAACCTATATTTTCTTGATAATAAAACTTACACCATAATATTTTATTATCATAAAAAGGTCTTAATATTCATTTAAAATATTTTCTTCTCACCATTGTACATGTATGTACCATTGGTTGAAATTTTTTTTTTAATTGTACTACAACTGTGTAAAACGGAAACAAAATACTCAATAGTTTTTTTTTCAATTAATTCAACACTACGTGTTTCTACATGTAACGTAAAATAATCATAAATGAAATTTCTCAATTTATTTCAGGATACACATTTAAAGTGGTAATTACACGTAAGTATACACGTACCCCAAGATGAGCATTTACTCCATTTGGATCTCTGTCCACAAGTTCAACCTCTTCTGCCCCGGACATTTTTTGCTTAGAGTCTGTGATTTTTTAATATGTTATACACCAAATGGAAGCTCATTATTAGATAAAGATTATGCAGACAACATGTAAATAAAGATGGTTTCTAGGGCAGATTACTGGGATGACACATTGAATTCTTTAATGCTCATCGGCAAGTTTACAAGTCTCATCTTGAACAGTTCGATGGAAAGTATTGAGAGACTGTCTCTTACATGTTGATTACGTTAAAGACCATCATCACAAGCGGAGTCTGCATGTGGGAGAAGATCGTACATTTTGGCCGTGGTTTGCGACGATGGTTAAAGACAGACCATGTGGGACTTTGTTTGCTTAGAATAAAAAAATAGAATTATAGAATTGACGTACTGAGTAAACACATCGTCATAAATTATGATAAATTTCAATTTCTGTTTCTTTTGCTTGATATGAATTAAAAACATCATGTGCGTAATTTAATGTAGAACCAAAGAAACATACTAACTTAATTTCTTCACAACTCATACTTGAAATCGTTCTGCCACAACAATGAAGCATAAAGCTCATCTATACATGTATAATTTCAAAAATATTAAAGAAACGTTCCAACAGCTTCAAAAACTAAACAAAAGATAATTTTTTCTCGAGAAAACATTTTAACGCTTTAATATCTTATTGGTTATAAACACATATTTATTTTCCTTTTAATTTTTTCTCCGAATTATTACAACTTATGTTTGTTCGATTATTCTTTTAGCAACAAATCAGCAGAGTTTTTGAATTCGTTATAGAACAAAAATACAATAAATACAAATAAAAAAGCATATTCCTCCCATCTTTTATTTATGAAACTAAATAACGTAGAATAGATAACGTAGCATTACGATTTAACGGCGATTTTACTACAAAATCACGAAATGAAGTAAAATTCAAACCAAATATACTGGTACATAGAGAATCAATTTCTAAGAAATACAATTTATAAAAGTCGGTTGTCATTTACAACATAAGATAAACGAAAAAAAGTCTCTCATTCAATCTAAAAGTTTATTATGTTCTTTTAAAATGATGGAACATAGATCCCATCGCTTCACAGACGGGCACGAAGCAGCAGTTCATGCAGTTAGCATACAGCCTCTGACAGAGTCCACAGTTGATTTCGCAAACCTTCAAGCATGGACTAATGTACCAAACATGGAAGAAGGAGATAAGTGCAAACTCACAGCCCCATTCCGCGGCTATGAAGCATCCCAGGTAGAATGTCAGGAGCTTGTAGAGGCAGCCTTTCCACAAGTTGAAGCAGGTGTGTGAGAGCTTGTAGGCACAGTCAATACTGTGGGTGCCATCTGGCTCTCCAATCACATCATTGAAATGGAGGGTCTGAAATACAAACGAAACATCTAATCCTTTGGAAAATAACATTTAATGTAACAAATCGCTTTTTTATGTTTCATTTACTTGTATCAAATTTCAAGTTGTAAAATCGGCTTTTAGTCGAAAAACTAGGGCTTATCTATTCATTTTTAACACTTTTGTTATGATACCCTCATAAAAGTATTTTGGGATGATATTGAATTGATTTGACATTGCATGATTTAGACAATTTGAAGCATTTAACTGCAATATTTATTAAACATCGTTTCATGTATGTCATAATTAATCTTAAGTTCAAATGTCTGAATTACATATACAATATTCCTATATATATATTCACAGTTTTGATTTGAACTGATTCGTGAATTAAATTGATGAACATTAAATTACCTTGTCTCATGATATTTTACTGTTTTCGTGGAGACAAGAGGTTATTTCTGCATAACGATTATATGATATACGGTAAAATACATATTATGTGTCTAAAATTTTGATTGGTGGTATAAATAACCAAAATTTTTCGTGCAATCATTACTGATGGGAGTTATTTATTTGTTTGATTATTATATACTAATGTACGAGAAAGAAGTGTATATGAGAAACATTAAGAATGTAGCTTTTGGGTTGATATTTCTTTTAAAGAAAGGTTTGATAAAATCCAGATTTGACCTTCCAACAAAGACGAAAGTGTAAGCAGATTTTCCTCTAGAAATAATTGAACGGATTGTAACGCTTTTGTCCATTGTACCTCAATGATTTTAAGCAGATCATTAAATCAATGCAATAAAAGGACTAACCGAATGGCCGTGGTTCGCAGGGTTTTAAGTAATGGGAGCTCTACTTAAACAAAGCTGTTTGGCATGCTAGTGACACATTATAAACTGTATCAATAATAGACGTTTTTGGAAATAATTTCGTATTGTGATCTAACCTTTGCTCAGTTTGTGTAAGAGAAATTAACCTTTTTATTTATTTTTTTGCATCATTGAAAAACAGAATATAAGCACATTGTAAGAATGAGAAAGTATTACAGAATATTTTTGATTTAAGTGGAAAATGAAGCTACTTACTTTATTTTAAAATATATATTAAATTGACACAGAAATCTTGACGAAATAATCAAACTTTGCATTAAAATCCATAATTTACATATAGGGATTAAAATTTGTAATTGTCTTTTGAATTGAAGAATGCTATTTTATGTTCTATAAAACGAGATCGTAAGAAAACATGAACAGATTTTATGGATCTTCTCTTTAAGATTTACTATTTTAACTGTATTTGTTTAAATATACAGTGTATAGAAAACTTTACAAAACAAAAGAGAACCCGGAGAATAATGAAGCTCAAATGTGCATTGGAACAACAGAGATTGGGAAGAGACTAAAGAGGTCCTTCAAATGCATCAGAGATTGGATCAGATGTCATGGAGTCGGAAACATCCCTGTCGAACGGTCACACCGCTAATTGTACTCCTTATTATGATCGGGCAAACATAATCATATGATATAAGAACATTTTACTAAACGATTATTATATTTCATGTTGTTTATTTGGAAGATGTTAATTCTGTGTTCAATCTTTCCAGTTTACTATGTCTATATATTTACGAAAGATTTACTTTTGTTTTGAGACGGATTTTTCAAGTTACATCAAAGCAAAGACTATAAAAATAAAAAATAAATTTAACAAATATTAATTTCTACTAACAAAATAAAAATATAAATTGTTGAATAAGAGATGTTAATTGAATTGGAAGCTTATTTCAGATTTATCTTCATACCGATAGTTCTTAAACAAAATAAATTTCTCTAGCAAAATGCGTCATTATATTGAGTTTTCCCTTATATGGCATCAATTTATTTCAATTATATTCCAAAAATTATGAAAAAGAGACTGGTGTTTTAAATGTTTGTTTTGTCGTACATTTGGAAATATTTTAACAGCCAGTGATATACATTGTGAGCAACTATAAAACAGGCCTTCGGGTATCCGGACTGCGTTCTATACCCAGATTCTAGGCATCTTTTATCAGTTTATTTCTGATATTTTCTGAAATACCCAAGTCTGTATTTTTCATTGATACAAACATAATGCTTTAAATTAATAAAATCTGAATTTTTGAAAGTGTGAGTATGAAAATGTGTGCAATGATCGTTTCTCAACGAATTAAATCAAACTGTGGTGTGTGCTGCCAGTGTAACCCTGCAAATAGGGTTATGAAGAATGTTGAATGCCTGTTCTTAGGACAGAAACCTACATACCCCGAGATGAGCATTAAGGTTGTTGGGATCCCTGTTAACAAGGTCTACTTCTTCTGCTCCAGACATTGTGCTTTTGGACTTGACGCTCTTTTCACTCCGCGGAGAGGAATCTGGACTCTTTAAACTCAGATCGCTAACGTGAGACATAGTATTAAAAGTTGCAGTCGCTAGGATATTAAAACAGGGCAACAAAGGGATAGTCTGTACAATAATTAAGCTGTGTTTTGCTGATTGTTAATCTGTTTAAAACACGATTAATTTCCATTACTTGGCGCAAAAGAAAATTTGAATTGGTTACGATTAAATATTATTGTAATTGTTGACATAGAGCTGTTGGCAAACAGATTTCAAATTTAAAAAAAAGGTTCTTGTCACGAAAAAATACGACTAACTGAAGATAGGAATTTGACAGCCTTATGATTTTGAGAATATTATAAAAAATAGTATATAATGTAAGCTTATGCATTACTATTGTTCAGTTTTTGCGACCTAAGTTAGTTAAGACACTGTTTGGAAAAGAGAATGTTTGCCCTAAAAATAGGGAGACTAATCTTTTCCTTGTTTACTGCTATTAGCAGTCTAATTTGTATTCAAATAAACAAGAATTTGTGCAAAATATTATGCGTGAAAAGAAAAAAACATGCTGTGACCTTCAAATGTACACTTATATATTTTCAACCACATATTGTCTATTAACGATCTGTTTATGGTAATTTACATTCTCCTGGTGGCATTGGAATAAAAGATACCACAGAGTCTGACACATCTGTTTCATATTTGGATAGTTTATGTGAAAAAAAGACGTTAATTGTAATCTAACAACCAAGCTCTATGATAAACGTGATGACTTTAACTTTTCAATCGTCAACTTTCCTTTCTTAATACTGAAAAATATGCTTTCATCACCTGCATGCGGAGCTTACGAGGGTAGTCCAAAAAGTTCGTGGACAAATGCTTTATTCTCTTAATAAAGCCCGCGATGGCAAGCATGTGCGATAATATCTTAAGGACCCTCTCTACACAAGTGCAATTGATTTTTTGGACGTGAAGAAAAATATATTGTATAAAGGTGTTAATATTGTGCTTAATTGTTAAAATTTCACTATGTTTAAAAACAACACAGGATCAGTGAATAGAAATCACTGTTAATTATTTCAACAGAGAAAATACATGTAAATAACATGTTCAGTTAATTTATCTTGGCCTCTTAAAATGTTAAGAATACTTGAATTAATTACAAATTGAGTAATACATTGTAAATTTTTTTTTTTTTTTATAATTTAGATCTAAGGGCAGGTCACTCTTACTGCAGAAAAATACCTTAGAATCAGAACTCTTTTGTGTGCAGTGTAGAGAGGGTTCTTAAAAATATACAAAACAAGATGTGTTTGTCAAACAATGTGCGCCCGGCGACAACAAAGCTCGAAAAAGTTATTTCTAGCATATAGGGAAAAGTCAAGGTCACGAGGTCATTGACCTTGGTGTCATTTGATAAAACTTGATTAGTGGAGTATGCATACCAAATATGAAGTCTCTTACTCCTATGGTTCAAAAGTTATAGAGAAAGTTCGAAAAAGCAATTTTTAGCATATACTGTACAGCAGGAAATTAACTCGCGTAGTTAATTTTCGCTATATTCGCGGAAAAAGAAATTCCGCGAATTCAACATACAGTGAATATTTCTTTCGAAGAATTATAAGGACAAATTGAAATTATTACTATTTTCTGTGATTAGATGTAGAGTAGACTGTCTTTATAATTATGTGAGTGTCTGGATCAATTACAAACACATAGTTCTTGCTATTTTTAAAGCTTATTAATTGTTTAATTCATTTCTATAGCTAACGATTAATTTTGCCATCTAGCAGACGTGCGATGTAATTATTTAATAAAACATGCTTGCTTAATTTTACCCGTGCGTATCACTCACTTTACTTAGTAAACAGGGTAACGACAATTGATTAATTCCAATTATATGATTAAAAGTTCAACATTTTTACTACGGTATATTTTTTTGTCTGATTTGGACCCGGAAATAAAAAAAATTAATGCGTAGCACTATTTTGACTTCAAATCGGGATCAGTCAATGTTTCGTTATTATTCAATCGGGATCAAAATCGATACAATGAATAGACTACTTTTCTGTCTGATAAGCACGATATAGTATACTTGATTACAGACTTTCGTAATATACTATACAGACGGGAAATAGCAGCTCACACAATATATGTCTACAGAAAAATGCTTGCAAGTACTGTTTAAGAAATTTTTGGTTTTTCCTTTTCCGCGAATTCAAACGACCGCGATTTGCTGAAAATTGAACAAATCGCGATCTTTTCCGACCGCGATTTTAACCTGCTATACAGTAGGTCACAGTCAAGGTCACAAGGTCATTGACCTTGGTGTCATTTGAAAGAGCTTCATAAGTTTAGTAGGTACGCCAAATATGGAATCTCTATTTTGCATGGTTCAAAAGTTATGGCGAAGGTTAAAGTTGACAACAGACAGACAGATAAACAGACAGGACAAAAACAATATACGTCCCGGATCTATCGATCCCGGCGCATAAACAGCAAAACAATGCACACTATGTTATGAACATTATAGGTATAAAAACTGTATATTCAAGCAGCACGGGCAAGTCTGACGTAACGCTAATTTTATACCCTGTTCACACGGAGAGTTTAATTCGAATTACACGTAAAGTTACTGCGAATTAGCTTCGCTTAGCGTTCACACGGAGAATTTAATGCGAATTAGTTTAATTCGAATTGATTTACTGCGCATTAAATTACTTCGCATTAGCTCCGTGTGAACGCTAAGCGAAGCTAATTCGAATTAAATTTTGACGCATGCGTAAGGCCAGAATTAAGTCACAGGACACGTGTTGGTGGTTATATATAGGTGTTTCTGCTATATTTGGTTCAAAAATTGAGGGAAAGTATGTTAATCACTAAAATCAATGAGTACCTGTAGCCACTACATGATACATGTATCAGAGGATGGCTCTGCATACATGACGTGATTTACAAATGACGTCATAATAGACTTACTGACGCCTGACTGTAGAAGAAAAATTTTTATTCGCATTAGCTGTCGTGTGAACGCAATTTAATTCGCATTAATTTGATTCGCATTAGTTTACTTCGTATTAATTTACTGCGAATTAAACTCGTCGTGTGAACAGGGCATTATAATAACGTCAAAGATATGGACTTTTTCAATTATTTTTGATAACTGTTCATAGACACGCGCTAACTTCCTTTATCATGTTACACTGCCAAGTGAGTACAATAATATCTATGTCTAGACCATAATTGATTCAATTTTTAAATTCAAAACAATATACACGATAATTTACAAGCGTCACCAGTATAAAACAGTACACAGCCCAGTCTGACGGCGCTCGATATATAGCAACGTCATGTATAAGGATAACCTATTTTCATCAAATAACAGTAATTGTCCACTTTTTGAAGTGTCTTTAAGATTTTAAAAATCGTTGAAAAATCGTATACATCAATTACTAATCAACAGATAAAATATATTCCAATAGTTTCAAGTTGTCTGAATAAATACTTTATGTCTGACGTCGGTGCAACCGTGTTAAACCACTATGATCGGACGCTGTCCTATTCGGATGGCCGACGTCGCCTTTTCTGTCTATTTTTGAAAAATACTTCTTGCGGTCTTCGCGTAATATTCTCAGTGTCTACATAATACGCGATAGTAAAGGTACCAGAAAATAATGATAACCACTATATTTGGGATACATTTAATTTTTATTGAGACTCGTTTTACAAAGAAAATTTTCATTTTAATCACACTTTATTTAAATGTTTATGCCATTTTAACCCTCGTCATAGCGCACAATCGGCGACCATTAATCACTGCGATTTTCATAAAAAAAAAATTATTTATGTAAGATTAATTTAAATTGCAAGGCAAATATCAATATTGTGGCAACTGCTATATTTTGAAAATAAAACAATTGCACAAATTAAATTATGCATTTTATTTTGGTTATAGAACAAAAATATTTTTATTTCCCTCTTTATTGTTTACCTTTTTTATCAAACATGCATGTAAAAAATATACATATAACGATCTACGAGGGTCATTCAAAAAATACGTAGACTATGTTCCACTTCATATTCACTGTGTAGAAACGGACTAGGGTAAAGTGCGTTACCCTAGTCCAAGATGGCGACAAGCAAATACGCTTCGATCATTTTGCACTTACTTTCAGCGTTATACAGACTAGCATTATAAATTTTAATGTTAATATTGAATTGTTTTGTACAGAAGAACACAACTATTGCAAAAAGTCGGCATGACATGCGATGATTAAAGCCAGATTGTGAATACAAAATTTGAGCATGATTAGGGTAAAGTAAATTTTTGACTAGGGTAAAGATATTATGAGCTTTTTTGGTGACTAGGGTAAAGTACGTGTAAAATATCATTTTCCTTGTTTCAGGACTTAAAACATCCTATTTCTAGGGATGTTTACTCCTTCTAGACAACTGATCCTACTTCTGTAATTTCCAGGGGTCTGTGTTTTATACCCCGTCCACAGATTTATATTGTTTGTGGTTTTCAGTGATAGATCACTGTTCGTTATCCTACCTTTTCATTGAGCAGACTCGACACACACTTTGGGCCTTTTCATAAAATCATTGCACAAAACACTATGAAACGGAAAAATTCTGATTTTAAAATGAATCGAGAGCAATAACGAATTACTACTTCTTGTAGTTAGTTCATGATTCTATTTATAGACATAATAAAACAAAATGAGTAGGAAAAGCAACACTCTTTTGATTTAGATGCGGCGAAAATATTTTCAAACATCTACAGATTAATTATTTAAAAATTATAAATAAAGAGAGGGGGGTATTTTATTTATTTATTGTATTGACGTGTGCATAATGGCCAGAAATAGGGTTTTGTAGTATTCTTACACTGGATCTATGATCGAGAAACGATGCGAAAAAATATCATTGCTGTATCTATTGAGGTTACTGGCAAAGCATTTCTTCGAAAGAGAAAATAAATCTATACTTGGGGTTCTGATTCTTAAAATTTCTGTATGTAAGGTGTTTCTTTAAAGGTGTTTCTTTCACAAGTTGAACACCTGTGAAACGTTTCCGTTTTTGTAAACATGGCACGAACATTTTGTTA